AGATTCACATAGAACAATACAGTTAACAAAGTCAAAAGTGTTTGACCAGAGCTGTGAAAATTCCAGTAACTGCCGGATGCACGTGTGCAAGGTAGCCCCTCGCACTCACCAGGACGCCGACAGCACCTGTTTCCGTGAACATCCATTTTAAGTGCTGTGTGTATTTTACCTGGAATCTTCATGCTCTCAGGTTTCATCCTGACTAACCTGAGGAGCAGTTGGCCTTAGGCGGCTCAGAGACACCATGACACACAGGTCTCCATCCCGCAGCACAGGGCTCAGACAAAGTCTTAGTCCCCAGGAGGGTGAGGTCTGTGTGGAGAAGCCCAGGGCTGGGGATTCCCCTGTCCCCAGTTTCACTTCTCCAGCTCCTAACCTGGGTCAGGTCCTTCTGCCCCGACACTGATGACAACTGGGCGGGTCTCACGCCCATTGGGTGACGCGATCCCGGAAAACCAACCAGCGTCGCCGCGATCACCGGTTATAAAGTCCACAGAATCCGCTGAACACGGACGCCTCCCAGATCTGAAATGGTGGCGATGTTGTGCACGCTGCTCCTGCTGCTGGCGGCCGCCCTGGCCCCGACCCAGACCCGCGCGGGTGAGTGCGGGGTCGGGAGGGAAACGGGCTCCGCGGGGAGGGCGGGGGCGGCACCGGGGAAGCCGCGTCCCCGCGTGGCCCAGCCGGACCCTCCCGCCCCTTCCCCACCGGCGTCCCGAGCCCCGCGCCCTGCTCCCCTCCCGGCCCGCCCTCCAGCCCGGGGTCCCGGGAGTAGGGTCGGGGTCTCACCGCGCGCCGCCCCCAGGCTCGCACTCCATGCGGTATTTCTACACCATCGTGTCCCAGCCCGGCTTTGGGGAGCCCCGGTTCATCTCTGTCGGCTATGTGGACGACACGCAGTTCGTACTCTACGATAGCGCTTCGGAGACTCCGAAATACGAGCCACGGGCGCCGTGGGTGGAGCAGGAAGGGCCAGGGTATTGGGAGAGGAACACACGGAACGCCAAGAACATTGAGCAGATTTTCCGAGGGAACCTGAGGACCGCGCTCGGCTACTACAACCAGAGCGAGGCCGGTGAGTGTCCGCGGTCGGAGGTCACGACCCCTCCACTCCCCTAAATAAGGGCCGGGCTGGAGTAGCCCAGGTTCCCAGGACTGAGGTTTGGGAGGGGAGCAGGGACCGGACCCGGTTTCCCTTTCAGTTTAGAGTCCGCGGGCGGGCGGGCGGGCGGGACTGACGGCGGGGTCGGTCTCCGCAGGCTCTCACACCATCCAGATGATGTATGGCTGTGAGGTGGGGTCGGACGGGCGCTTCCTCCGCGGGTACAGTCAGCAAGCCTACGATGGCTGCGATTACCTGACCCTGAACGAGGACCTGAAGACGTGGACAGCAGCGGACACGGCGGCGCAGATCACCCGGCGCAAGTGGGAGCAGGCTGGTGCTGCAGAGAGACTGAAGGCTGAACTGGAGGGCACATGTGTGCATTCGCTGCGCAGATACCTGGAGAACGGGAAGGACACACTGCTGCGCACAGGTGCAGGGGCCACGGGCAACTCCTCCCTCTGCCCTCGGGCTGGGCTCAGTCCTGTGGAAGAGGAAACCCTCACTGGGGTCATGCCCCTGTCTCTGAGGGCAGACAGGGTCCCTGGGTCTCCTGATCCAGCATGGCAGGGACTACACTGACCCCCCCAGAGCTCAGCCTTCTCCCTAGACAGTTTCACATCTGTCTCAGGAGGGAGGAGAGAGGATCCCGACATCACCAACAGTGGCTCCTTCAGTCTGCAGCCTCTGTCAGCCATGGCCTCTACCAGGCCGGGTTCTCTGCCCACACCCAGTGTGTGGACACTGAGTCCTGTCATCTGAGTGTGTCAGCCCTGACACACCAGGACCGGAGTCTCCTTTTCCTCATGGAAGACACGGACTTTCCTTTCCTAGGTTGCCTCATCCAGTTTCAAGAACATTCCAAAAAATACATTCTCTCTAATTCCTGTGTGAGCTTTGTATCCCTTCCACACCCCAAATCTATCTCCTCCTAGAATGATCACTTATGGGTGCCTGGGAAAGTACTATACTGTGGAGGTTTTTCTTTTTCTCCTACTTTTTTTCTTTAATTGAATTATCTTTTTTTTTTGAAGTTGTCGTTTTGATTTTAATCAGTTTTTCTTCTTCACTTTAAGGTATTGTTTTTCTATCCCCTTTTGTTATCATGTGTATCAGTCTCCACAGGTGCCATGGGGACTGATACTCTGGATAATTAGACAAGTTAAGTCAGTGGGCTTTTTTGTTGTTGTTGTTGGGTTTTGTTTTGTTTTGTTGAGACAAGGTGTTTCTCCATAGCTGTGGAATAATTCACATTAAACTAGAAAGATTCCTGGGAGCTTAAACTATTTTCTGCCAGAATTAACCACACAGAGACCCTTCTCCCTTTGCAACAGCAAGTTACAGTGTAGCCCTAGTGAATTAGGAATTGAACTTCCTCAGAGACAGGGTCTTCTGCACCTCCAGGACTGGAGTGACAGGGAAGATCCACACACCCTGAGAGCACAGTTGTGTCCCAGTGAGTGCTGCACTGGGCTCCACAGCACACTTCAGGGATCCTGGGTGACAATACCTGGTATCTTGTCACCCCCAGAGTTGTGGCTTGGGGAGTCAGTTTCTTTGGCTGCATGTCATTAGTCCACCATATTTCTGCTACTCACTTGGTGATGGTTCATAACTTGGAGGAACAGATACACTAGGCAGCAAGGTGGCCTCAGTGGTTGTGACTCACTGGGGCTGCAGGTTTTGGAAGCATCTTTCATGTAGCCATGCTCCTAATTTATAATTTTGATATGGATTTAATCACATAAATAAATCATTTATTATTCCTTCATTCTTTTATCACGTAACTTACACTACAGAACATCACATAAGGAAGACCACGTTGACCTGCTGGCTCATGGGGATTCCCCCACCTAGTTTCTGGGTCCCCCAGGAAACTGTGTAGTTCTGTGATGAGGGGACCAGCTCTACCTGCAGGTCACTAGTGTGATGACAGAAGTGTTAAAATAGGCACATAGTTCAGTGTCATCATTGATTAAACTTTGTCTTTACAGGTTTCAGTTTATCTTATTAATTATAGGATTTTTTAAAAATCTTCCACACAGATCCCCCAAAGGCACATGTGACCCATCATCCTGGACCTAAAGGTGATGTCACCCTAAGGTGCTGGGCCCTGGGCTTCTATCCTGCTGACATCACCCTGAACTGGCAGAGGGAGGAGGAGGAACAGACTCAGGACATGGAGCTAGTGGACACCAGACCTTCTGGGGATGGAACCTTCCAGAAGTGGGCATCTCTGGTGGTGCCTTCTGGGGAGGAGCACAAATACACATGCCATGTGCACCATGAGGGGCTACCTGAGCCCCTCACTCTGAGATGGGGTAAGGAGGGAGTGGGTGTAGAGCTGGGGTCAGGGAAAGCTGGAGCCTTCTACAGACCCTGAGCAGGGTCAGGGGTGAGAACTGGGGTCATGACCCTCACCTTCCCTACCTGTCCTTCCTTTCCCAGAGGCTCCTCAGTCCACAGTCCCCATCACAGCAGTCATTGCTGGTCTGGTTCTCCTTGGAGCTGTGACCATCATTGTAGCTGTGGTGGCTGTGGTGATGAAGAGGAGGAGAAACACAGGTAGGAAAGGGCAGGGTCTGAGTTCTCTCTCTGCCCCTTTTAGAAGAATCTCTGCCTCATTAATGGGAAACACATCCACAGCCCTCATTGCTGCTGTCTCTAACCTGGGTCTCCTGTCAGTTCTGGAAACTTCCTAGGTTCAGGGTCTTCCCTGGTCTCTCACAGCTTTTCTTCTCACAGGTAGCAATGGAGGGGACTATGCTCTGGCTCCAGGTAAGTGTGGGGGAACAGGATTATCCCTGAGGCCCCTGGGGTGCAGCTGGAGATAGTGGGAGTTCTGGCAATCCATATCTCCTCCAGTGCAATATTCTGGGGGCCTTGGTTGTACCTTGTTATGAATGTATTTATTTTTACCCTAAGCATGGATAGTGCTTACATAGTATCTGATATGTGTCTCCTGGATTGTAAAGTGACATTTTTGGGCCTGTCTTGGAGAGGGGCAAAGTGGACATGATTGGGTTTTAGGGACCCTCAAATCACTTTTGAGTGACTGATGGATTGTTGAGATGTTGTCTTCACAGTGGTTATTCATGTCTTTTGTTCTGTAGCGTGAAGACGGCTGCCTACCCTGACAGAGTGACAGATGATGTATCCAGGCCCCTCCTGTGACATCCAGAGCCCCCAGCTCTCTTTAGGGAACAGTGTCTAGTGTTTCCTGGAATCTACGACCTCAATGTGAAGAACTGAGGAGCACACCTCACCCCCGCACACCAGTGATGGTGGCCCTGTCAGAGGAGCAGTTGGTGGCAATTGAAATTAAGGATGTCTGCCCACCAGGAGCAAACTCCTTGATGCTGATTCTCTGAATAAGCAAGAGCCCAGGACCACAGTCTCCAGAATGTCTTTCGGTTTTTGGTTCTGCTGTGCCTTCGCAGGTTTGTGGCTGCCATCTTTCTCTGGTGTGTGGCATGGTGTGAATTGGTGTGGGGAGATCCGCACTGCCTGTAGTGTGGTGTGTTTATCTCATGGGAACATCCCGCTCTACCAGGCAGGGTTACCTATGGACTATCATGAAGATGATTCCTTCCTAAGCTGTGCTGTCTAACTGATAATAATGTTTAATGATAAAATATAAACAAGGAAGTGTCTCACAGCTAGAACACACGAGTTCCTATTGATCAGCCATATAGACTGTGGCTGAGGTTAATGATTAAGAAACTCCACTGAGTCCCAGTAGCCCAGCTAGTTTAATTATTTTAATCTTAATGTTGGGAGATGTGTTCACAGGTGTCACAGTGCATCATTGCTGAAACAAAGCCTTATTATAGCTGCAGGTTTGATCAGATGTTTTGATAATAGTTTTGAGGTGAAAACATTGTAATTTTTATATTACCTGAAAGATTTTTTTTCTTGGGTATATAAGTTGTAAGGGAAAGAATAGAGGTAGAAGTGAAAGGAGTTAAGATGGCTTAGAAGGAAAAATTTAGAAGGGAAAGTTTAGCCAGGTGGGGTGGCACTAACTCCTGGCACTCAGGAGGTAAAGGCAGGTGGATCTCTGTGAGTATGGGGGCACACTAGTCTACAGAGCTACTTCCAGCACAGCCAGGGCTGTTATATAGAGATACCATGTCTCAAAAAAAATCCCAAAACAATAAAAACAAAAGAATGAGAGAGGTAGAAGGAAAACATCAAACATGAGAGAGAATTAGGTGGAGAATCAGGAGAGGTAGAAAGAGCAGGAGAACATCTGGGGAGACAGAAAGGACTTCCTGGATGCAGATTTAA